GCATCATGGCCCCACACCGCTTCCCTGGGGGCTGCAGCCGCTCGAATGCAGTGGCCTTGGCCAGTTGTACAGGTGTCATTTCTTGGACTTGTGGCACTCAATGGCGGCCGCTTCAGTTTAAGCTCCTTGATTGCAGAAGCCACCGGAGCAAGCTCTGCACTCCGGCGCAAAGCTTTGGCCATGGCTGTGCAGCTTGCCAGCTTCACTGAAGGTGTTGAGCTGTGTATGGCTTTGATGGCCTTCAGCCTGCAAAGGAGCATGCTGTCGTTGGTTGTATATTGCTTTAGATGTGGGCGCTCTTTCAACCACCCATGGACAACCCTCTTCAGAAGGGGGGTGGCCTGCTTCTGCACCTCCTCTGCCACCTGGTTGACCACCATCAAGTTCTGGCCGCCACCAGCCTTCCAGACCTCTGCCTCATTGGACACCAGGATGAACCTCAAGCTACCCATGCCCTCTATGAACACGGTTGTGTCCCACACTGCCCAGCGCTGCATGTAGGAAATCATGGGCAACAAGGTTCGACAGTAGTTTTCAGCATGTGGTGCTATTGCTAGGTGCAGGTGCTCTTATAGGGGCAGAGGCGGATTATCTGTGTTATTGCTTGGGGGATACAAAGCAGCTGTGTGTGGTGACCATGTGGCCAGCACAGGATGCAGGTATAACGTTTGACAATCACCATCAGTATGTGTGTGTATGTGTGTGTATGTGTGTATGTGTATGTGTATGTGTATGTGCGTGTGCATGTGCGTGTGTATGTGTGTATGTGCGTGTGTGTGTGTGCATGTGCGTGTGTATGTGTATGTGTATATGTGCGTGTGTATGTGTGTATGTGCGTGTGTATGTGTGTATGTGCGTGTGTGTGTGTGCGTGTGTGCGTGTGTGCATGTGTGTGTGTGTGCGTGTGTGTGTGCATGTGCGTGTGCGTGTGTATGTGTGTATGTGTGTATGTGCGTGTGTCTGTGTGTATGTGTGTGTAAATGGCCACATGCATGTGTTGTGTCGTGGGCCAAGTCATACTTCCACGGGACTACTAAAAGCTGAACCTGTAGCCTCTCCCACAACAAGGGTGATAATACCCTTTCATGAACCCCAAAAACAGCTGCAGAGTGGTTGTGGCCCCCAAAAGAGGACTCACTGTGTGTGGTGGGAAAGATGTGGGTAGTTTCTTCTTCTTGGCCATGATGGCCACTCTTTCATGATCACCAGCAGGACCCATAGCTATATGGATGACCACACCTTGGGGCCTTGTGGGTCAACACATAGGAGCGCAAAAGCAGATGCGACCGCAGTCAGGATAGGTAGGTCATGCAGACACCACAGGATGCCCTTTTACCTAGTACTTTTACCAGCAGGAGTACTTTGATAGCTTGTTACAGCACAGAAGACGGAGGCGTCCAAGGCACAGACAATATGCACTGTCCCAGAAAATTGCACCAAAAATGGCTTACCTTTTGCTAGTAGTACGAGTAGTCGACAAAAACCATTTGGGAGTGTGCAACGTCCGTGTCGAAAGAAGGAAAGGGGGCGCGGTACACAAAACCTGTGGGGTGTGCACGGTGTGCATGTAAGCGCGTCATACATTCAAACATAAGTCGCATTGTCCATGTCCTTTTGCAATGGCTTATAAGCCGTGCACTCCGTGGGTGTTGGTGTTTGTGGGTGCTTTTGCTGATGTTGTTGGCAGGCCATGCATGCAAAAAAAGCGACACACACCGCACGAAGTGCCTGCAAGGCAGCATGGGACCAGACTCACCTTTGCAACCTAAAATGAGGCGTGGGCGGGTATCTCACCGAAGGCGGAGAGACTGCCGCATACAACCAGACATTCGATGGTTTTCATACATTCGCAAAAAATTTCGGACATGAGACCGCACACAACAATGTGGCAATGTACACGAAATTTAAAATGTGGAACAATGCTTAATGTTGGAGGGTGCTGACCGCCACTCGGGGAACGACTTGGTCATGGATGTGGTCATGCAGGGGGTTTCCTGTCATAGATCTGGTCATGTTGCCTCATGACCACTCATGAGGCCTCATGACCAGTCATGTTACCGGTCATGAGGCAGAGTCATGGTCATGACAGTTGTCATGCTCCTTGTGCAGCATGACTGATCATGAATTGCCACTCATATGTGTAAATTCAGTCATGTTCCCAATGGTCATATGCTGGCTCTGTGTTCATGTTTTGTTCCTTTCTAAAAAGTGACAATTATATGCCATATGGACTCCAGAATCCCTTCTGAAATGCTGCATAGTATATTACCTCTATAACAATGTGCACAATGTACTATACAGCATCCCTGCCGGGATTCTGGAGTGCACTTGAATTGCCTTCGTTTCAGCCACTTGCAGTGACTTGATATGCATTCAGGCGCGGCAGTAAACAAAGCCCTTAGGCTTAGCCGCATTTATCCAACGGAAAAGATCAGTATATGCCAGCTAGCAGGGCAAGGCAGCCAACTTCCTTTTGGCCTGTTGCCAATCCTTACTCAGTCAGCTCCCTTACACCCTGTTGTTAATTTGAAAGTCATATGTTACATACTTCAGGCATGTATTTAATGTTTAATTAACAAAGAATTTCTCCTGCTGTGTTCAAGCATGACAAGTTAAATCACCAGCTCGCACCGTCCGACAGGCACAGCATTGTTGATGTAACTAGCTAAAACATGTGG